CATCTTGGGGTCCACCAAAGAGCTGATCAGGCACTTTTCACGTAGAAAAAGTCTCAAGATCTTCACCACCAAGTCTCAGGAACAGCAAAAAAGATAAACAACGATGAATCCCTTTTTTTGAACTGAACTCCGAGCCGAACAAAAAGCCTTGGATCGTTGTCAAGTGCCCTGCCGGTGATCCACTAATCATCAGGAGCTTTTCAGCCACCCGAATCGTTTTTCAGCATGAGAGGTTTGATGGAACACGTTGGAGACATGCACTGTGTGGCAACAGCACATAGTATACATCTACATGCCAGGATGGACTGAGCATAACTCGAAAGAACCAAAGCTCCTGATGACTCTGAAGTTGGCGATTCCTTTTTGCATCGAAACGCTTCCCGCAGACCATCGAAAGCGGCGGTTCACGCCCGGTTCAGCCGCAGCGGGCGACAGTTCGGTTCGGCCCGGTTCCGGTTCAGCCGCGCTGCACACGGAATTCGCCTCCGGCTGGGATGCGATGAGTACAGATGAAAACATGGCAAAAAGCTGATCGAGCAATGACAATAACAAGGGACACAACATGACAATCAATGTGGTCATGTAGATGAAAGGTGGCACAATTCAAGAGGAGCCAAGGCAAGCTGTGTTTCATCAAAATGTGTGAGGTTACCAAAGAAAACACAACTGGAGAACTTGTTGACACTCGAGGATGTTCATCCATCATCATCCATCTATCTGTGAGCTTCATTTTGGATACCCTCTCTTGAAAAGAACAGCAAGATTGGGTGTCTAAGAGTCTCGGATTTATGTCGTGATGCTGAGGAGATGTACTTGCAGTTGACCAAGCAAAAGCAGTTGTAGCGCATGCTGAGAGTATTTGTCACAATGGGCTTGGCCCAAAACCCTCTGCCCAAATGTACACCCAATAAACATGTGGAGTGCATATCTGTTGGATGACGCACAGTGGCCACAAATACCACTCGCGGTCTCGCGGTGTCAATTTAAACTCCAAATTTGAAGCAACTGGAAGGAAGCCAGGACGCTACTAGGGGCTCCTGGCCTTACTAGTAACAAGAAGCTATTAGAATTCCTTCGTGTTGCATCCCTCTCGTTCCCGTCATCTTCCCTGTCCACTCTGCCAGCTTTTCCTCGCTGTGAGCCATCCGCAGAGAGCGGACAGAAAACATCGGTCGGCACGTCCCCGGCCGGGGCAGCCGAGAAACGAGGACGGTGTGAGAGGCACGGAGCCCGCAAGAGCGCTGCTGAAGGATCTAGAACTGAAGACTATGAAGATCTGGTCATTGGTAGAACTCGAAGTACAGTGAGGATTCACCAAGTTAACTGATAGATCGATCTATTTTTCTACAGTGTCCTTCAGGCACTTCTTTTCCTTTCCTCCTTTCTCTTCGCTTCTCCCGCTGTTTCTCAGGCGACTCCCTCAAGCTCATCGTCCAAGTCCTCGTAGATCTGCGACAAGCCTCAGCGCGACGGGGGGGCGGCGTCTGGATGTGATAGCGTCTTGTCACGAACGAGGAGGCACATCACATGAGACCGTGGCGTCCGCAAACGGCCCAGAGTTCGGAGTTACGACGTTCATGAGGAACAGGGGTGCCATCCACTTCCAGGAACGTGAGTCGGAAGGTAGAATAACAACTTCTTTGGGTTCGACATGGCACAGAGAGAGATGCCTCTGGGGTGTTTGAACCTCGACCTCGGTTCGAGTTTTGCCAAAAAGGTCTCCTTGACCAAGCTCCCGGACCGCTCCCGGCATCCGACTTTTTCAACGTTGCCACTCGGGTGGGCGGTTTGGACCGGTTCAGGTCTGCCGGGCGAAATTGCGCCATTCCTCATTGGCGCTCGCTCTTGCGGTGCCAGTACCCGAAAAATGGAAATGGGATGAAATGGGCAAAGACTGGATTTAAACTCGAAATAAACACCTATCTACACCGATCTTCAGCCGATCTTCTCATCTGTGAAACGCGTGCTTTTGTCTGCAGATTGGGCATCTTGCCGCTTTGATGAAGCGATTGGTGCCGTGAGCACACCAGCTACTCAAACAGGTGGAATGAAATTGATGCCGGCATGGCAATTCCTTCACCACCTGAAGCGACGCGTGACATGTCCGGTACTGACTGTCGTTGGGGAGCATGGAGTCAATCTCACCGTACTGGCTGAGATGTTGTTTATTCTTGTTGGGTTCTGTTGCTGCTTAACTGCTTCACCTGCAAATGAACCGGTGGAAACGGACGTCCGCATTGGTTTTTCATCCATCTCAGACCACGTCCCACGTGTTCCAATAAACCTCTTGCTGCTGGTGCCCCTTTTCTCGGAAAAAGGCGGTGGTTGGACTCGTCTAGACTTAACACAGTCAAGCATGGTCACACCAAGTTCCAGGTGGATTGAGAAGGTGAGTTGGATCGTCAGTGTTAAGGTTAAGTGCGAGTCTTTGGAAGTGGTTACCAACAAGCCAAACCCATTGAATGTCTATAGTCTATTCACTGAAGTTCGGTCAAAACTGATCAATATTGGTTTATTTTGCCTGGCATTGAAGCTGACTCACCCTCCTCACATATTCTCCTCTTACGTACATGAGCAGGTCGGAATAATGCGTCTGAGTACCAAGTGCATCTATATACAGATTCTAACCATTTCTGGCTACAAGGCGTCTTCTACACTTCCGCTTTCTTCCGGCGCCGCTTCGTCACCTGGCCGGTTCCGTGTCGACACCGAAGCTTGGTAAGCCGCCCTGTGACCGCTGCCCCGGGCACCTCGCCATCGTCCAACTCGTCCAGGCAGATGGGACACAGACCCGCCGCGGCGGGCACCGAGGGGAAGTCCTCGGCCTTGCCGAAGGCGTCCGGAAGCTGCGCTGACCCTCCTCGGCCGTTCCGCGGTCTGCGCTCGTTCCGCTTCCTCTTGGTCTCGCTGGAGTTCTTTCCTGCGGATGTAGACGATGAACCTGAAGCGCAGGACGTGGTGAGCCGTGAGCCGGGATGGATTTCTGGAAGTCCCAAAGACATTGAAATCGATGCGATGCATGCGATGCATGTGCAGGATGATCCTCCGGATGCTCCTTTCGATTGTTCCTTTTGATACTTACCCTAATTTACCCTAAGAATCCTTGGGCCTGCCATAGCAGGAGTCCGGACCCTCCAAACTCTATGTGTTTGATGGTCAAATCACATGCCAAGACGCGACCCCATTGACATGAGGGGCCTGTGGAGCCCGTCCCGGCTTCCTGGGTGATAGCGGAAGGATTGTGTCGAGCCCCCCTTCGATCCGATCAAATCCCCCGCGCGGGCGCCCTCCAATGTATGGAGGATGCATGGCACATCTTCAAACACCAAGCATCCACTTCCCAACGTCGAAGAATCCCTATGTTTTCCCTACCGAAGCAATGGCCATTGCTTAAAGGCGATGCCCTCCACTAGCGGAAGAATCCCAACTTTTCCCAACTTCCCAAGTCACACGTTCGTTTGTGCCCAATTCCTTCGACTGTCGGGTGGCCCACAGCACTGAAAGCAGAGAAGACAAAAAAATATGATCACCAGCACGTGTGGAACACCGAAGGTATCCATGGCGCGGCTTTGAACGAGGAATCCGTCACCGAGAAGGCGTCATATACTATGCATGAACCTATGCAACATACTGAGACATTCAAAGCAATTTATGGGTCAGGGTTGCTATGGATGTGAACTTTCTGGACTCATACATACCTACTGAGTCTGTCGTCAACTTTTTTTTGGGTGGAAATCGCAATACCTGGTTTTATGTATAATCAATGAAAAAAACCAGGTTTTTGGTTTCCGTCAGGTTTTTCATGAACATTGAGTCCTTGGCTGAGATATGTGTTGTTGCTCGAGGGTTCCATGCAGGACGGAATGACATCGTGTAAACATGTTTTAGATCGAGAAGAACCAACATGACAACAAATATGGAACAGGTGGCACTTGACCATGATCGATGTAGAACCATGGGTTCATTCTTGGTGTGGTTGTTCCACCAAACCTTCCGTACGCGTCATGTCATCGATGTGTCACCGATCGCGACCGCATGTCTATGTCGTGGACGAGTTCGTCACCTTTGGAACCACTGCCAGGGCCCAAGGTCCGTTTTTCTTTTTCTCTCCAGCGGTCGGAGTTGGGTGCAGCTGTGGAGAGTTCCTTGGGTGGACGGGCATGCCCTGAAACCCTGGTTGGAATTTAGAATTGTTTGGATTGCTGCAGCCTGTTTCTGGATCAATAAGTTGTTGTATTGCACACTCACCCTTTGTGGTTTGCCCATGGACTGTAGAGGGCTAGCGGTGGCCTGGGAAGGGCTACTTCCCCTGAGGGAGAAGGTCAGGGGCTGTGGCAAGCTGATCACCCACCCATCTACACAGAAGTTCTGCGTTGCGAACAGGGCAAACTGCAAAGAAAACGCAGAGATCTTGAAGCCGATCTTGGGAAGAATGGCCGAACACCCGAAGAATGCTTTGCCCCACTTGGAACCTTTGCAGGCTGAGCTGCTTGCATTGGCCAACAAGTTGGGCCTCCCTGTGTCGGAAAAGGGGGTCTACCAACCGGCTGTGGAAATCAAACGGCTTGCTGGCTTTGTCAAGAGGCGAGTCAATCGGGGAGAGTGCACGAAGGAGCCGAGAGGTTCAATCTGTGCTTTTTGGGTGCTATGTGGTTTTGAGTTGGATTGGATCCAATTGTACTAATCCTTTAGCTGATGAGGCAACAAGTGAATATGTTTTCAATTGTTGGCCATCTTTGGTCACGATCACCTCGTTTGTAGTCCCAATTGTGTTCAATTATCTCTTTGATTATCTGCTTCACCCTGCTAGGATGTTGCATTCCACGAGCTCTACCTCACTTTGGACCCAAATCAGGAGGACAAAGAGTTGTCTCATGCCTGTTCCCTTTCGCTCACTGGCTTCCAAATCCATCTTAAACACAACAGTAGAATTTGCAGTAGAATAAGCTATGTCCGACCCATGAATTTGTTGTGACTTTCTGGTACTGTCAAAGGATCACATCGAAGCCTATATGGCAACTCGTCGGGGTCAAGACTCTACTGCAGACCCTGATGATGCGGTGGAGGATCCGGAAGAGGATCCATATGACCCAGTGGACATGGTTGCGTTCAACGCATGGTTGGACTCCAGAACGGCGGAGGTGAGCCCCAAGAGTTCTGAGGTGGACCCCTTGAGATCTAGTGAGCCCAAATCCTTGTCAGAAAGTATGTCCCCTCCATCTATTGTTCCGAAGCCTTCTGGTGATTCGACATCGCAAACCCAGAGCATCTCGAACCATCAGAATATGAACTTTGTAAGTTTTTGTTTTGATCCCATGAATCCATGGTTTCATGTTGACAGGTGTTCACCCTTCACTGCTCAGGCGAGCGGCTTGCACAAATCCGCGCTCTGATTGCTGAGAAGAAGCAGCAGCTTCAGCAGAAGGGAGAGCTTGAGAAGTCACGTCCTGAGGCCGTTTTTAAGACTGCGTGCAAACTAACAATTATTGTAAGGGTAGATGGCAGCAACAAAACTAGACTCAGTCACCCCTCTAGGCTTTGAACCTATAAAGCCTCCACGTCACACCTACTGACCAAGGTCAGGGGGAACAACAGTTCCAGTGGATTCTTCGGGAGCAAAAGGCCCGGCCAGGCTTACAGGTGCAGGTATGTTTTGACCACATAGATTGATCCTGCAATATGATTTTCAAATTCGTGGATACTGAACACACACATATCCGAGAACTGATATTACCCTGTTGAAGCATACACCATGGCCCTTTGTGATGATTGTAGTGAAGTAACAAAGGATGACAGTAACCGCAACCTTCAAAAACTAACCATTAGTGCAAACCCGTCATGCACAGGAAGCACCGCTCTGCCAGCTCCTACATATACAGCTGCTTCCGATTGGGATGAGACCCAACCTATGTTCAAGGCGGATGGCATTGACAGCAGCCAGCCGGTTGGTGAGGAGAAGGAACCCACTGCCCCAATCGAACCACCTGCCCCAATTGAGGAGGCGTGTGGTTTCAAATTATTTGGAAAGGTGGTTTATCCTAACTTCATGTTCAATGGACGTTTGGTGTCCAAGAAGATTGAGGTTTAAAGATCGAAATTATATAGATATCTCAACGCAAGTTAAAACCAAAATTGGATGGTTGACCCTTTGTCCACCTGTTCCCTGGCCAGGTTCTCACTCGGCGGGATCAGCTGAGAATGAAAGAGAAGCTGGCAGATGAAAAGAAAATCAAAGCTGTGGAGAAGAAGCTCGATGGTGCGACTGAACATGATGATGATGAAGAAAAGGGGGGGTGACGTTGCTGCCCCCAAAGCCAAGGCAAAAGGGAAGGCCAAGGCCAAAGTGGAAAAGAATGCTCAGGGGTCAAAGAAGCGTGCAAAGAAGGATGATGATGAGGCACCTAGCACCCCGAAGAAGAAGCTCTTCCAGTCTGACGACGAGGATGGAAATCAGGACCTCAAAAGTGAGAGTCCGACTCTCTACCTCGACCCCATGACTGGAGAGGCAAAAACCTTGGACCAGATCTTGGAGGGCTATGTTCCCAAAAAGCATGAAAAGTCCAAGCCCCAACCTTCAAGGAAGAAGAATGCTCAAATTGAGGAAGAGATGGCAAAGGCCTCAAAGGAGGTCAAGGCTATGAAGCCGGATGCGAAAGTGATGCCAGAACAGGCCATGAAGTCCAGGTCCAAATTGAATGCGGCGCAGAAGCCCAAGGCCAAGGCAAAGGCAAAGGGAAAAAACAAAAGAAAGGCGGCTGAGGAAGATGAGCCTGAAGCTATGGAGGTGGAAGTGGAAGACTCAGATGATGAACATCCGCTTGAGGATGAGGAATTGTGTGAAAGTGAGAAGGTTGATGATGAAGAGTTGGAGGGTGGAAGGACCGCAAAGCCGAAGGCCCGGGCCAAGGCAAAGGCGAAGGCCCGGGCCAAGGCAAAGGCGAAGGCTAAGGCAAAGGCCCGGGGCAAAGCCAAGGCCAAGCCAGCCAACAAGCGTATCCAGGAATCGCCTTCTGTCAAGAAGGAAAAGAAAAGGAGAAAGGAAAAGAATGATGCTATGATGGAATTGCAGCCGGCTGACATGGAGGACACTATGATGCAAGCCATCTTCATGACCCACCTCAAGAGGACCGAGAACCTTCATGAGGAAGAGACTAAGGACTACCTCAAATGCAAGGTCGGGGACAACTTTGACATGGTGGCCTTTTCCAACTACTGGAAGGACAAGGCAGTGGGAGTGGTTAAAAAGGCAGACAGGTCTCACCTCACATACTTTGGGTTTGGTAAGAGTTTGACATGGACCAATGGCATCACGCTGGCCTTTGTGAGCGCAAACCTTTTTGTGGCTGGCCTGTCTGGTTGGACACTTTTTGCTTTGGTTATGGTTATATTTCATTTGTTTGAACTCCACAACTTCTACTAGTCGAATGGTATGGATACACTGGACTGGATGAAGCCTTATGATTATCACGCACCATGCATCCTATGAACCTGTGTTTGAGTCAGTTTCATTTGAGGCATCCTATCTGGAAAAAGAACACGGCAACATTCCGGCTGACTTCAAGGATCCTACTTCAAATGTCCAACGGCAGGTTGCTATCATCAAGTACAACGCCGGTCAAGCGATGAGAAAAACACAAATGTGATAGTAGGCACTGACTCATGGTGTGTGCAAAGGATATGGTCTGATGTTGGAAGGCAATAAACATATTAATGAAACACAATGACTGTTTTATAACTTGAATGTAGTTATTGTTCCATCCTTCCACGACGGCCATGTTTTGATTTTGGAAGTCACTGACCTGTGACATATGTGCTTTTGTGCGGCCAAGTGGCCAATGAGATCGCAGCCCTGAAGATGCCTCCTTAGGCATTGGGGTCACTGGGTGTATATGCAGGCAGGCGCCAGGGGCTGTTACACATGGACCTTGAACATTCCAGGCCTTGAGGTAACCCTTCAATGTCCATCGACCTTGCAAACCAATGTCCTAGAATCATGTGTAAGTTGATTTGTTAGATCACTTCATTAATGTGTTTGCCTGCATATGGGGCCGACCATTGCCCAAAGAGTGGTCACTGATCCCAACTGACTGGCGGCTTGGAAGGGTGCGTGGGGAGGACCTCACGTGAGCGGTGGTGATTCGCAAGCTCAAGTCAATGAAAACGTGCTGTCTAGGTGACTGGTGGGTGGACTGTTCTCTAGTGCTGTTGATTTCGGTAGGG